GGGGGGGCGGGGGGCGGGGGGGCGGAGAGCTTTCCTGCCGGCTTTTCTGAGGCTGCCCTTCCCGCCTCCAGTTCCAGCAGAAGATCTTGGACCTCTGCCTGCTTCTCCTGGACCTGAGCCTCTACCACCGCCAGGACCCAGCGGGAGACACGGCCCGCAGAGGGGACCCCAGGTACCTGGGCCGAGTGGTCAGCTCCATGGTAAGCCCCCCCCCGGTGCCCCCTCCTCTCCACCCCACCTGCCCGAGCAGCAGCCCCTCCCCCTCCTCACTCCCCGCTGGCTTCTGCCCCCCCCCCAGATCAACGGCAACGACAACGACAACGGCATGCTGGAGGGGAAGTGGAACGCGGACTTTGCTCACCACGAGAACCCCTCCCGGTGGGACGGCAGCGTGGCCATCTTCAGGAAGTGGGCGCAGGACAAGTACCGGCCGGTCCAGTACGGGCAGTGCTGGGTCTTTGCCGGGGTGGCCGGGACAGGTACGCTGGAGGTAGCGTGTGCGCGTGGAGGGGAGGGGAGGGCGGGCCGAGGCCGCCTCAGAGGCTCTGGGGGGGGGTGCAGAGGAGAGGCGGCCCCTCCTGGGTCCAAGGCCCCCTTGACCTTTTCCTCCTCCTCCCCCTCCTCTCTTCCAGTCCTGCGGTGCCTGGGGGTACCCACTCGCCTGGTCACCAACTTCAACTCTGCTCACGACTCCAATGGAAACCTGAGCATCGATAAATATTATGACCCCTCTGGAAAGAGCCTCAAAATCGGCCAAGACTCCACCTGGTAAAGGAAATGGGCTCAGTGACCGCGGGGGGCAGGGGGGCGGGGGGGAGTCACCCCAGAGCAGTCCCACGAGAGCGTGAAGAGGAACCCCCCCGTGGTGGCAGGCGAGCGTCACCGACTGTCTGGCCAGGCAGGCGAAGGGGCCCGTTTCACTTGGGGCGGCGTCTTCCTTTGGGGATCGGTCTCCGTCAGCTGTGGGGAGTGGCGCCCCTGCGACAGGGGCAAAACGACAAGAGGGTATCTGGCCCGCCTGTCACTTTAGAGCACCAGGGGGGAAAGTACAGAAGAAGTTGTAGCCACGGGGGGGGGGACGGCGGGGGGGGGGGGGGGTGTTAAGGGGGAGAGGCTAGACCGGGAAATCCCCCTGGGCAGGAGCCCAGCTGCTCGAAAGGCCAGCGGCTTCCCTCCCCCCGGCCCTGGACTGCCGCCCCCCGGCTCCCTTGCCCGCCCCCCCCCCCGGGCCTGCCTGCCGGAGGGGCAAGACAGACGCTGCTCTCCAGGGCCCAGGCCTGAGTGAGACAGTGGAGGGGGGCCTCATCACGGCCAACACGCCTGGGTCCTGATTGCGCCCCCCCCCCTCTCAGGTGCCATAAACGGCTGGAGGCTTTGCCCTCTTTGCAGTTTAAAAAATCCCGCTGGGGAAGCGCTCCCCCTCCAGTCCAGATGGGTCTCCCTGCCGGGACACCCTTTCCCAGACGTCAGTGACCTCCTCCCTCGGGAGCGGGTGGCATCGGGGCTGGCGGGAAGGAGGGGGGATCAGGGACAGGAAGCTCCCAGACTTTCAGCAGGCGTCCCCCACCCTTTGAAGCAGACCAATCCCCTCCCCCCACCCCACCCCCCTCTTCATTTACAAATGAACAAGGAGTTTCTGCACAGCTGGGGACGACGGGGCTGCCAGGTCTGGGTTGGGAAATACCTGGAGACTTTGGGGGTGGGTCCAGGAGAGGGCAGGGCCTGGGGAGGGGCCTCGGCATGGGACAAGGCCACGGAGCCCCCCCCCTTCTCCAAAGCAGCCCTTTTCTCCTCCGGGGGAGCTGATCTCTGTCAGCTGGAGACCAGTTGTAGAAGCGGGAGATCCCCAGGCCCCGCCTGGAGGCTGTGGCAACCCTAGCTGGGGAGTCCCAGACAGGCAGGGGACTCTGCCTGGCTTGTGCACGGCCTGACTCTGCCTGACGCTCGGCCCTCAAAGCCGGCAGCCTCAGTTGCCAGGACAAGAGCAGGCGGGCGGCCAAGACACACCGAGGGTGGTGGCTCAGCGGTGGTGACGGTGTTCCGTCCAGCCCTTTGGCCCCCCAGCTCTGCAGTCGACCAGGAAAGGAAAGGCCCATGTGATGCGGGAGCCTGGCCAGAGCCTCCTCCTCCTCCTCCTCCTGCTGCTGCCTCCGCGGCTGCCATGTGTGTGCCCAGCTGGGCAGGCTGCTCTTCCCAGGGCCGAGAGTGGCCTGCGGGGCCCGGGTCACGCCCTCTGCCCAGGACAGGGTGGGCTTCATGGGAGGGTGTCCCCCGCTGGCTGGGTCTCCAGGCCGGCTGTTCTATGGCTGCTGCTCCTCCCTCCCTCCCTCCCTCCCTCCAGGGATTACCACGTCTGGAACGAAGGCTGGTTTGTCCGGAGAGAACTGGGGACGGCGTACTGTGGGTGGCAGGTGATCGACGGCACCCCACAAGAGAAGAGCCAAGGTAAGGGAGGCTCCCCCGGGCGGGCGGGCGGGCGGGCTCTGTGGCTGGGGGGGCCCGCCCCTCCCCACAATGGTGCCTTGACCCCTTGCCTCCTCGTCCTCGCAGGGCTCTATCAGTGCGGGCCGGCCTCCGTCCAGGCGGTCAAGCAAGGCGATATCGACCTGCCCTACGACACGGCCTTCGTCTACACAGAGGTGAACGCGGACATCAACAGGTGGGTGGTCAATAAAGACGGCTCCCGAACCCGAGCCTATTGTGACACCTGCTCCATCGGCACCCACATCAGCACCAAGGCCGTGGGCAGCAACCAGCGGGTGGACATCACCAACACGTACAAGTACCCGGAAGGTCAGTGCTGTGGCCCTCTCGGCCTCTGGCGAGTCCGGCTGCCTCTCTTCTTTGCTCTTGTCTTGACCTTGGGCGTCTCTCGGGAGACTTTCCAGGACAGAACAGGCAGGGATCCCGGGGTGGAAGGCGCCCCAGAGAGAGGGCCTTGGGGAGTGGCTGCCTCTCGTGGCGGAGCCTCTGGCTCGATTGTTGGCTCTCAATGCGAGAGGGCAGTCGCGGGGGGGGGGGACCCAGCTGCCCCTTCCGTAACAAGGGCCCTCGAGTCTCTTTGGCAGAGGACTGGGATGTGGCCCCAAGAGCTCCTGCACTGGAGGCTGCGGTGGGCGGGCTGGGAAAACCTGCTGCAGAACTGCAGGCTTGAATTTTCCAAGAGAGCATTCAGGCGCCGGCGTCCGCTGAGCTAGAAAGCAACGGGGTGCTCCATAGAGCGCTCATTGGCTGGCCCCTGTGGCAATTATGAGACCGCCTCCCGCCTCGCCCCTTCCCATATGAGGCTTTGTGAAGTGGCTAAGAAGAAACACACACACACACACACCCCGCATAGACTTTCTCAAAACTGTCTGTTTCAGTTCCAAATAGAACCAAGAAACATGCCTGACATCTGGGGCAAAAAACTGTTCCTTGAAAATCCCAGAGCCTGTCACCCTGAGGCAAAAGGGTTTTAGCACACAGAAATCTGACGCATGGCAGGGCTGGATATGTGGGGCCACAGAAGGGCGGAAACAGGGCGCAGCAAAGCTTTTGGTGGAGGCCCTCCACCTCCTGCAGGGGGTGCCTCCGTGTGCAGCCCACTTCGCGTGTGGCAAAGCAGGGGGGCCCCCGCCAAGTGTGTGCAGGGAGTGGGTGGGGCCAGGAGGGGCTTTTGCCCAGCGAGACTTCCGACTGGCCATTGGAGATTTTGATTGGCAGCTGCCACCACAGCACAAGGACCTTCACTGTGTGGCTGACACCCGGCTGTGGCTTGCCTCGCTGCCCAGGCCTCACCAGGCTCTCCACGGACCTCGCGTGGCCATCCCCCTGCTGGTCCAGGCCTCCCACAACAAAGGTTTCTTCCCCACGTGTTGGTCTAGATTGGACTGTAATGCTCATTTAGCATGTGAACGTACCATGCACAGTTCACGTCTGGCCACAAGTTGTGGTGGGTGGTGGCCACAAACTTAGATAGCTATTGGGGGGGGGGGGAAGACAAATTAATGAAGGAGAAGAGCCACTGTAAACAATGGTAGGTAAAAATGGATCCTCCATGTTCCAATGCAGTCTATACTTCCAAGTGCCAGAGGCTGAGGACCAAGAGCAGCAGGGGGTGGGGAAGGCCAGCAGACGTTTCTGCCACACCAACATGCTTGTGCGTATGTCAGCGTGGCCCTTCAGCCACTCAGAGCGTGGATCTCCGTCCACACGCCCAGCACACTGGTGCTCAGGGGGCATGCCCTGAGCGACTGGAAGGGACGTGGCTAAAAACAGCCTGTGCCGATCCACAGAGCAGGGCGGGAGGGGAGCGGGCCCGTCCCTCCGTGGGTCAGAGCCCCTGCCTGGTGAGCGGGAGGCCCAGGGTCACCCTTGAGAGGAGGTCTGGCCTTGCAAGAGGAGGGCAAGCTCCCTCTGCAACTTCCCTGGGCGCCTCAGATGGTCCTCGTCCCCCTGTCAACCGCGAGCTGGCCTCTGATCCGCACGACTAGATTTGTCCAGTAGCCGTTCCGGTTGCTGGGTGCAGTCCGAGCATACATACCCCTGATCGGCACATGGTCTGATGATGGCGAGCACTTAACAAGTGTGTCCGGGCAGACAGGCTTGCTGAGAGGTTTGCAGCCTCCCGCTCCTGACCTTCTGCCTGCAGCCACCCCCCCACCGCCCCTCCTCCGAGCCAGAGCAGCCCAAAGGGGAGAGCTCCAGAAGCCCCATGAGGGCAGAAACCCTCCACCCTCCACCACCACCGCCGCCCCCAAAACGTGGGGCATCTAGCGGTTCACACGGGGGGGGGAGTCCCTGCGTGGGGGCAGGCAGCCTCTTGTTGCTTGCCAGAAGCCCAGTCCGGGCGGCCGCTCTCTCCTGCCCCCCCCCCCCCGCGCGGGCGCGCCCTCTCTCTCTCTCTCTCTCTCTCTCTCTCTCTCTCTCTCTCTCTCTCTCTCTCTCGTCTGCTCTGTGTCCCCCTCCTGGTGTAAGGAAGCCCCCGGGTGGGCCAGAAAGCCACACCTTTGTAACTTTGCAGCTGCAGTGTGGTGGCTGAGCCCCTGCTGGGCATGACCAGGCAGGAGGTGACGTGAGACCCTGGAGAGCCACGGCCAGTCTGAGGGGACAACAGAGACCTGGGTGGACCCAGGGGGGAGTCTGATGCAGGAGGAGGAGGAGGCTGCTTCGCGTGACACACACACACACACACACACACCCCGCCCGTGAGCATCACTCAGGCGGTGGCTTGGGGGGGGGCGGCAGGAGGAGGCCTCTGGGGCTGACCTCCCTCTCTCCCCCCCCCGCCCCGCGCAGGCTCCGCAGAGGAGAGGAGCGTTTACAAGAAGGCCTGCTCCAAGCTGCCCAGATCCAGCACCCCGGCCAGGCGCCCCAGCAGCAACCTCGGCGACGACGCGTCCTCTGAGCTGGTCACCCACCCGGAGCTCTACGGGAAGTTCAGGCTGGCCCAGCCGCCCATGCTTGGGAAGGACATCGAGCTCATCCTCACGCTCGCCAACCTGTCCTCGGCGCCCAAGGCCGTCACGGTGAACCTCAGCGTCTCCAGCGTCCTCTACACCCGTGCAGCCGTCCGGGAGATCCTGAAGGAGACCATGCACGTCAGCTTCGCTTCCCAGGAAGGTAACGGGCATCTGGATTCGGAGGCCACAACGGGCAGCCGGGGGGGAGGGGGCACGGGGGGGGCGGGGCTCCTGGGGGGGCGTGGGCCCTGCCTGGGGGCCTGCCTGGGTGGGCTCCTGTGTGCTGCTACACCCCCCCCACACACACACCCCAGCAGGAGCAACACTAGCTCAGCCCCCTGCAGGTACACAATGGGTCTCTTAGCAAGCGGTGCTTGGCTTCCCCTGGTCACACTGTCGCTTTTGACACCTGCAGGAGCCCACTGGACTGAGGGCAATGGTGTGGGGGGGAGGTGGGGGCTCCCGCCTCCCCCCACCCCCCCAGCCTTTCCCTTGAGTGGAAAGGGCCTCAGCGGGGAGTCGTTTGCATAGCTTTGAAGCTGGCGTGGAGCAGTCCAAAAGTGACGCAAAGGGCACCCTGCGGAGGCAGCCTGGGCGAGGGGGAAGGTGTGGGGGGGGGAGGCAGGAGCCCCCCCACCCCACTCCATGGCTCCCCTGAGTCAAATTAGCTCCCCGCAGGCCTGAAAAGCGAGGCTCCCTGCGGCTGCTGGGGGGCTGAGGTGAGGGGGAGCCCACCTCCCTTATGCTCTCGTGTCCTTTGCCCAGGACCCCCCAAAGCGCTGAAGATGGGCCCTTCGAGAGCCATTCTGGCCTCTGCTCTCCCCCTGTTTCCGCGGTGCCCTTCCCCCCCCCCCGCACAAAGGCTGGGGGGGGCCTCAGGCTGGGACTGCCGAGCATTGGGGGGGGGGCTAAACTCCTCCCCCACCGTGCATTCTCAGGACCAGAAACATCCCCCGGGAACTGGTTCTTGCCGGGGGCCCCCCCAGACATAACCCATTCTGATGGGCAGCCCGTTCCCCAGCGGGGCAGAGGGGGGGGGACCATTCCCGGCAGCAGAGCAGCCCAGAGGGGAGCACCAGCCCCGTCTCCCTGGCCCACCTCTGTCGCCCTGACCTGGAGACATACCCCGGGGGCGGGGGGAAATCCTGTCTCAGGTATTGAGCCCCTCAGACAAGAAACTACTGGGGGGGGGAGGTTTGGACAGTGGGGAGGAACGGTCTCCTCCGGCTCCCACCACTCTTCCCCTACAAAGGGGGGTATCTTTGGCGCTCCCTCCCTCCCTCCCACCGCCAGCCTTTCTCCAGGCTGGGGCCAGTTCCAGGTTTTGGGGGGCCCTGGGCAGAGAGCCCCCTTCCTGGCCACTCCCCCGTGGGTCTCCCTCCCTGCCCGCCCACCCAGGCATCCTCCCCTGCTCGGCTGGCATGGCCCCCCTCCCCCACTGCCCGTGCTCAGAGCCACCCGCCCTGCCCTGCTGGGCGGGCAGGGAAAGGGCCAGCAGTGGTGAGAGCCTGGGCAAAATCTGGAACGCTGCCCCACCCGAGGCGCCAGCCTTGCGGCAGGCGGACGCCCGGGTTCCAGGTGCGGAAGCTGCGGCCCAGAGCGAGGTCAGCACAGCTGCCATGCCAAGAGTGAAGTAGGCGGGACTGGACCCGTGAGCAGGCCAGCTGACTGGGGGGAGCCCTGGCCTGCTCCCTTGGTGGGGAGGGGGGGAGAGACAGCCAGTGCCCTGTGGAGGCTGCTGGGAGCAGGGAGGGGACTGTGGGGTGTGGGGGGTGGCGCCAGTCCTCTTTGCCCTCGCGTGGTGCTGGCGGCCTCGGAGGTGGAGAAAGGCATCTCGTTTCCCCTTCCAGAGAAGCACATCCCCTTGCGCATCCCCTACGGCCACTACAGCGCATCCCTGACGGACGACAAGAAGATCCTGGTGACTGCCTTGTGTGACGTCATGGAGGGCGTGAAGCTGCTGGTGGAGAAAGCCATCACCTTGGAGAGCCCAGAGATCGCCATTGCGGTGAGGACCCCCGCTCCCCCCACCCACCCACCCCCCCCCGGCCAAGAGGGAAGGTCCCGCCAGGTGTGCGTGTGTGTGTGGGGGGTTCTGCACAGTTGGCCTGACCCGGAAAGACACACCTGTCCCCTGAGGCCAAGGGGCGACTGGTGGCTGGATGCCTGCAGGTGGCAGCCCCCCCCCCGCCCGTGCATGCCTCTGGTTTTGTTTCCCTCCCCCTCCGCCAGCCTTGCCTTCCACCCACGAGTCCCTCCCGGGAGCCCTGCTGGGGCACGGGGCAGAAAGCACAGCCAAAGCCCCTGGGCTTGCTGTGTGAGTGGCAGCCCCTGCCCACATCCGCGCCATTTCCTGTGCCCCGCCCCTGTTACTTCTGGAGGGCTTGGGGGGGGGGGTTGTGGCTATTGGTGAAATCCAGTACCTGACCTGCAGCCATAATAACTGTGTCCGACTGCCACTCAGCCACAGCAAAGGCACGGACAGGGGCACCCTAGCTCAGAACTGGGAATACGCCAGTCATCTCATTAAAAGGCAGTAACGCTCCCTGGGTGAGTGGGCAGGGGTGGGGGCGGAGAAGGCAGCAGTTGTGGGGCCGGGCCAGGTAAAGGACACTCAGCAGGATGCCCTGTGCCCCCAGGCAGCCTCCAAGCCCAGACCTGCAGCTCCCTGAGCCGCCGACTGAACCTTCTGCTCGGCACGTCCCCGGGTGGAGCGGGTGGAGCAGAGGGTCTCTCTCTGTGTTGACAGCTGCAATGGGGGCGGGGACTCCCGGCCCTTGGGCAGTTGGAAGACCTCCTGCTACCAGCCCCTCTTCCAGACCGCTGATACTGCCGGAGGAGCTGCCCGGGTTCTGCGGAGGGCCACCTGCGGATAGCCATCCTGGTGGACGCCGCACTTTGCCCCAGGCCGGGTGGTGGCCGGGGTGGGCCAGTCCGAGGACCCCCAGGGTGGGCAGCGCTTCTCTCGGATGCCCCAGACATCTGGGGCCTTGCCGCCCTGCTCAGCCTCTCTCCCCGCCACGGACCTCACGGGCTGACCCAGATTGCTTCCTTCCTTCCCTCCCCTCCCCTTCCCTGCTGCAGGTCCCCCCCAGGGTGGAGGTCAACAAGCCGACCACGGTGGAGATCTCCTACTCCAACCCCCTCCCGGAGCCGGTGGATGACTGTGTGCTGCTGGTGACGCTCATGGGACAGGCTGTCACCATCAAGTAAGTGGGGTGGGGCCGTGCCCCCTGGAGACAGTGCCCCCTGTCCTCCTTGCCCCCTCCCGCTGGCCTTTCCCCACTTTCCCCCAGAGGGTCTGTGGCCTTTGTTGTCGTCAGGGGCTTAGGAACGGGCACACAACACAGTCTGTGTGCGGTCTCCTTCAGATACTTTGCACACGGAAGCTCTGACCCAGAATAGAACTCGGTTGGTCTTCAAGGTGCCCGACTGGACTCTGTTCTGTTGCTTCAGACCAGCATGGCTACCCCCCCTGAATCTATACACACGTTGATCTGACACAGGGTTTCAACACTAAAAGGACATGCCTAGTGCCCGAGGGTGGGGGGTGGGGGCTGTGGCTCAGTGGCAGAGCTTCTGCTGGCGCCCAGAAGGTCCCCGGTTCAATCCCCAACGGCATCTCCAGTTGAAAGTCTCAGGGAGCAGGTGGTGAGGAAGGCCACGCTGGCCTTGAGGGACCACGGAGCTGACTCAGCGGGAAGCAGCTTCGTGGCGTTCAGTCATTTTAAGTGCGACATGGAACCGCCTGCCAGTGGTCAGGGAGGGTGGAGCTGGGGTGTGCCCTGTGGTGGGTGAGGGTGTATGTGTGTGTGTGTGGGGGCATCCGGACCTCCCCCTCCACACTCTTCCCAAACCTGCTTTGGGTACAACCTTTTTGCAAATCACCTCTGAACGTCCCTTGCCCTGAAAGCCCTCTTTGGTTCCCTCACCGTTCTCTCTCTCTCTCTCTCTGTTCCAGTGTGGCAGGACTGGCACCCAGGGAGAAGTCCAAAATCTACTTTGAATTCACACCCCGCGCCGCCGGAGCCATGCAGCTGCACGTGGACTTCTCCTGCAACAAGTTCAACCACGTCAAGGGCTTTGTGCTCATGCAAATCAACCCTCCGGCCTCCCAGTGATGCGGTGTTGGGGGGGGGATGTTGGGGGGGTGGCCGTCCCGGGCCGGGCCGGGCCGGGCCGGGGGGCACGTTGCTCATGCACGGCCATTAAAATCCTGTGACAGCAGAATAAGCACTGGGGGTCTCTCTCTCTCTCTCTCTCTCTCTCTCTCTCTCTCTCTCTCTCTCTCTCTCTCTGTGTGTGTGTGTGTGTGTGTGTGTGTGTGTGTGTGTGTGTGGCGGGAAGGGTGCGAGTTTGTTCCGGCTGGGGATCCCCCTCTTTCCAGGGTGCCCTCTCCAGCCCCACGCACCTGCCCCCTTCAGCCCCCGAGCAGGCCGGGACTTCCGCCCGTTGGCGGCTGCCTCCACCTGGGACTATTAACAATCGACCAGCCAGGCTGGAGTCCCTCCGAGAACCTTAGAGACCAGCAAGGTTCTTGAGGGCCGGGGCTCTCAAGGCTCAAACGTCAGAGGAAAGGCCCGTGAAGGACTCTCGGGAGCCCCTGCCCTGAAACTCCGGTCGGCCTCTCTCTCTCTCTCTCCGAGGGGCGAGGGGGGGGCGAGGGGACTCCAGCCCGGCTCTTCCACCAACACGGCTGCTGCCCACAGGAACCTTTTCTCAGGCCAGAACCTGGAGCCGGCGGCTGTGGATTGACAGCTAAACTTTCCACCTGGCTGCTCTGCGTGAACCTCTGACCTCTCTCGTCAATCCTCCGTTGTTTGCACCTGCTAATTCGGCTTCAGAGACACCAAGGGCTCACCCTTTGAAGTTTCATGACAGGCTTCTTCCCACCAGACCTTCCTGCTGCCTCTGTTTTCCCACACAGATTTAAACTTGAAAGGTTCCCGTAATCTTCCCCTCAAGTAGGATTCCTGGTATGACTTCCTTCCACCTGCCTGCAGAAGGGAGCGCTGGCTGACTCACAACCGCTCACCTTGAAGCAAATGTTGTTGATCCTCAAGGGGACACCTCCTGTGTGTGTGTGTGGGGGGGGAGGACTTTTGTCTTGCAGCTGCCGCACCCCTCAGCCTCAGGCCAAGGATCCTGAGGACCAGGTGTCACTTGGCACCATTCCTCTGCGGGGGGGTCAGAAGTACCTCCCTCTCCCCCCTCCTTTGTATCCTGCTCTTCTTCCTCCAAGGAAGAAGAAGAAGAAGAAGAAGAAGAAGAAGAAGAAGAAGAAGAAGAAGAAGAAGAAGAAGAAGAAGAAGAAGAAGAAGAAGAAGAAGAAGAGATTGGATTTATACCCCATGGCCCTTCACTACCCAAAGGAGTCTCAGAGGGGCTGACAGATTCCTTTTCCCTCCCCCTCCCCACAACAGACAGACACCCTCCTGTGAGGCAGGTGGGGCTGAGAGAGCTCTTTGGAGGACTGTCCTTGAGAGAACAGCTCTTGTCAGAGCTAAGGCTTGCCCAAGGCCATCCAGCCAGGTGCCAGTGGAGGAGGAGTGGGGGAGTCAAACCCGGCTCTCCCAGATCAGAGTCCTTTGTGCCCTTAACCACGACACCAACACTGGCTCTACACCACTAACCCAAAGAGCTCCCCCCCCCGTTCAGCCCAGGCTCATCAGAGCTGGGGATCTAAGCAGGGCCGGCCTTGGTTAGCCCTTGGATGGGAGCCCCCCCCCCGAGGAAGACCAGGGTGGGGGTGGGGTTGCTACGAGGAGGAAGGCATCGGCTTAACCCCCTCTGGCTTGTCTGCGGCCTGGAAGGCCCTGCGGAAGAGGGGTTGCCACGAGTCCGTTGCGAAGCCAGCGGGGGGCGCACGTGGGGCTCCTCGCCTCTGTTTGAGCCTCACAAGTCCCAGAGTGGCCCAACTCCCGGTGGGTGGGGCCTGGAGCTCTCGGTGGGTGGGGCCTGGAGCACTCCCGGTGGGTGGGGCCTGCAGCTGCCGACTCCCGGGGCTGGCTCTTCCCCCCATGGACGCATGCGCTGCCCAGCTGGCCACAGCTGCAAAGAGCACACAGGCGCTGGTCAGCCTGGACGCCTCGGCTTCAGGAAGGCCGCCGAGTGCAGAGGTCTGTGGGCCACGTTCAAGGGACCCTCTCGCCTTCTAGCTGGAGCACCCGGCTGGCCTACACAGCCGCTGCGTCTCCTGCGCTAGAGTTGCCAACATCCAGTTGGTGTCTGGATACCCCCCAGAATTACAACCAATCTCCAGGCTAAAGATCAGTTCTCCAGAGAAAATGGCTGCTTTGGAAGGGAGATTCCATGGAAAGAGAGCCAGTTTGGCGTAGTGGTTTAAGTGCACAGACTCTAATCTGGGAGAGCCGGGTTCGATTCCCCACTCCTCCTCCACTTGCACCTGGCTAGTTGTGACCCTGGGCAAGCCGTAGCTCTGATAAGAGCTGTCCTTGAAAAAAAAAGAGCCGTTTCTGTCAGAGCTCTCTCAGCCCCACCTACCCCTCGCAGGGTGTCTGTTGTTGTGGGGAGGGGAAGGGAACAGGAGTTTGAAAGCCGCTCTGAGGCTCCCTTGGGGGTAGTGAAGGGCCATGGGGTATAAATCTCTTCTTCTTCTTCCTGGCTACTGAGGCGTGTGCCCCTGGGGAACTGGTGGTCCAGGAAACTGGCAAACGGCCACTCAACACCCCTCCAGCCATGGGAGCCAAAGGTGCCCTCGCCCCATAGCAGGGGGGAAGACGGTCTGATGGGGCCCTTGCCTGGCCAGCCCCTGCTGAGGTCCCGCAGGGCAGGCGGTCCCAGGCCCCTCGCCAGGGCAGGTCTCTCCACTGCGTGAGATGAGGTGGTTCCTGCCCCCTCCCCGTCCTCACCGTCTGCCCCCCCACCCCCAAAGTGGAGCACCAGGACCGGCGGCTGGCCTTGCCTGACGTCTCATCCAGGGAGCCCCACGCGCAGACGAGGGAACCACCGGGCCTCACGCCCTCTCTCCTTGGCCCGCTGCCAGGCTTGGGAAAGTGTAATTAGGAAGCCGGCTGAGAAAGGAACATGCCGTCTGGAGGAGGAGGCGGCGGTGGGCGCGCACACGTACACACACGTACACGCACACCCCCCCAGCCTGACACGGAGGCGCCCCCCCCCTCCTCTGCACCCCCAACAATTCCTGGGCTGAGAGAGCGCCTGAAGGGAAGGCACTGCGGATGGATGGGGCCCGGCATGCCGCTGGGTGGCGTCTGGTCCTTGAGGGCCAAGCCTGGCAACGCACGCATCTGCACAGCTCTGGGACGCATCCTGCGTGGGCTACTTGGTAGCCCACATCCAAAGGAGGCTCTCCCCTGCGGCCCACGGGAAACGCTCCCCGCCCTCCTCCGCCTCCTCCAAGGGACACAGCCCCCTCCCAATGCTTCAAGGGAGCCATCCTGTCCACAGACACACACACACACACACCAGCCTCCTCTTCTCCAGACTGAACACTCCCAAGCGCCCCCCCCCCAGCCTTTCTCCTCCTCGCGGGGCTTCTTGGTCTCCAGGCACACACACACCCCCGTCATCCTCCTCGCCCTCCTCTGCACCTGCTCCATCCCGTCCTCTTCCTTTCTGAAGGGAGGCCTCCAGAGCGGCACCCAAGACTCCAGGCGCGGCCTGACCGAGGCAGTGTACAGCAGGACTAGGACATCTTGCGATTCAGATGGTTCAGGAAGAAGGAGAAGAAGAGACTGGATTTATACCCAACGGCCCTTCACTACCCAGGGGAGTCTCAGAGCGGCTCACAGCCTCCTTCCCCTCCCCCTCCCCCTCCCCACAACAGACAGGCCCCCTGTGAGGCGGGTGGGGCTGAGAGAGCTCTTGACAGAAACGGCTCTTTTTCAAGGACAGCTCTTGTCAGAACAACGGCTGTGGGCAAAGGGTGAGGGACTGTGGAGCCTACCACTGTGTACACTTTGTTCTCTCTGCTGCTGTAAGCAGGTTCCTGCTATGTAATTTTTGCATTCGTTCAACGTGCCATGATGTCGCTGTTTATGCTGCATACTTCTACGAGCACTGAATGACTACTCCAAGAAAAGCAAAGAGAAGCTTCTCGTTGCCGTGTACAAGGCAGAGTTATTTAAGGTTACAGAAACCAAAAAAAGAGTACAAAAAGATTGAAATCAAAACTCACTTCGACAACTGGAAACAAAAGCGCTTGCATGGGACTATATTTGCAGGACACAGAGAATAAAGTTGATAACAACAACCCCTGGAAGTGGCTCCAAAACGAGCCCGTAAAGAAAGAAACGGAAGGACTGGCCCTCGCTACACAAGAGCAGGCTCTCAAAAAAAAAGAAGTATGGAAGCCGTGGGACTCAGAAGGCCAGCAATGACAGCAAATGTCACCTTTGCCAGACAAAGGGCAAGGCAGTCGACCACGGGTGGTCAGCGCCTGCAGTAAAACTGCTCAAACCAACTCTAAAGAACGTCAGGGCAGAGTTGCAGCTCTGAGTTGCACTGGAATATTTGCAAGAAGTATGGCAGAAATGCAGGGGAGCACACACCGGACAAGATCATGGAGAATGAGGACTTCCGATCGCAAACACATAAACATGTGGACCATAACATCACAAATGTAGAAAAATGAGAAAAAGGGTTTGGATCACTGACATTGCAATCCCAGGAGACAGCAGAATAGATAAGCCTATGGAGCAGAGGTCCATCCGTCACAGTGTATAGACAGGAACTCTCGGTCTGGGGCAAGGGATGCTCTGTCTTCTTGGTGCTTGGGGGGGGGGCAACAGTGGGAGGGCTTCTAGTGTCCTGGCCCCACTGCTGGACCTCCTGATGGCCCCTGGTATTTTTGGCCACTGGGTGACACAGAGTGTTGGACTGGAGGGGCCATTGGCCGGATCCAACACTGGCTTCTCTTATCTCTCTTTATATATAGTTCTGTTTTGGTCATGGACTCCCCTGAACATTCCGCTCCAAAATCAGTTCGCTCTCTGATCTGTCATTCAGAGGGTCTCCCTATCCCCTGGCTGCGTTGCTTGAGTCTGGCCTCCAACATTCTAAACAGTTTGCTGTTCCTCTCCCCCCCATAGCCAGTCAGAACGCAGAGGTCATTTGCATATGTGGCCTGATTGGCCTTTGCCTCTAACATTCTAAACAGTCTGCTGTTGCTGTTGGGAGTCCTGAGGTAAAATACATATCCCAATCTCCCGGTGGGGCCTGGAGCTCTCCCCAGCCACAGCACATCATTTCTGCAACCTCCCGGTGGGGCCTGGAGACCTCCCCAGCTGGCCGCCTCCTTTGCCCGCCCTCTCCTACCCGTCGCCCTCCCCGGCGCAGATGAAGCCCCGCTCACCTCTCGCTCCCTCCAGGGCTCCTTCGGTGCTCCAGGCGCTGCGGGGCAAGGGAGAACGCTGGGCCGGGGGTGGCGCCGGGTGCACAGGAGGCGGGCGGGGAGGCGAGGCCGAAAGGGGGACTTTCTTTTAAGATCCCGACCGATCTACTCGACCTCAGCAGCCCCCCCCCACCCCCAGCGAGAGAGCGGGAAGCCCTCCCTCCTTGGGCAACATGGTAGGAAAACTGGCTGCAGAGGAGCTCCAGGCCTCCCTGGACCCGTTGCAGCAGTCCGGTTTCAAGCCAGGCCCAGGCAGGTGACCCCTCCCTCTCCGGGCAGACAGAGGCGCAGCCGCCCCTCCCTCCGCTGCTCTCTCTGGACTCTGCTGCAGCCGGCCACGCCTCCCTTCTTCTGAGACCTCGGTGGGGGGGGGGTCCTTCCCTGGGGCAGTGCTCAGAACTAGGCTTCTGTGGGGGGCGAGCTTGCTATTTCCATTCATTTACTGGTTTACTTTATTTATCCTGCCTTTCTCCCCCATGGGGGGAGGACCCAAAGAGGCTTACATCATAAGAACATAAGAGAAGCCAAGGTTGGATCAGGCCAAAGGCCCACCCAGTCCAACACTCTTCTGTGTCAGCAGTGGCCAAAGATACCAGGTGCCACCAGGAGGTCCAGCAGTGGGGCCAAGAGGACACCAGGAGCCCTCCCCCTCTCCCCCCCCCCAAGCACCAAGAAGACAGAGCATCCCTTGCCCCAGACTCAGAGTTCCTCTCTGTACCTTGTGGCTAAGAGCCGCTGATGGACCTCTGCAGTGGCTGGACAAACACTCGTCATGGATGCTTTAGGCGGATCCTGCATTAAGAACGTAAGAACATAAGAGAAGCCAGTGTTGGATCAGGCCAAAGGCCCATCCAGCCCAACACTCTGTGTCACACAGTGGCCAGAAATACCAGGGGCCATTAGGAGGTCCAGCAGTGGGGCCAGGACATTAGAAGCCCTCCCACTGTTGACCCCCCCCCCAGGCACCAAGATGACAGAGCATCACTTGCCCCAGAGTCCCTATCTATACCTTGTGGCTAATAGCCACTGATGGACCTCTGCTCCATATACTTATCTAATTCCCTTTTGAATCCATCCATGCTTGTAGCCGCCACCACTTCCTGTGGCAGTGAATTCCATGTGTTAATCACTCTTTGGGTGAAGAAGGACTTCCTTCTATCCGTTCTAACCCGACCGCTCAGCAATTTCATGGAGTGCTCACAGGGAGTTCTTGTATTGTGAGAAAGGGAGAAAAGTACCTCTTTCTCTACCTGCTCCTTCCCATGCATAATCGTATAAACCTCGATCATGTCACCCCTCAGTCGTCTTTTCTCCAAGCTAAAAAGCCCTAAGTGCTTTAACCTTTCCTCATAGGGAAAGTGTTCCAACCCTTTTATCATTCGAGTATTCCAGATGAGGTCGCACCATTGATTTATATAGCAGCATTATGATATTGGCTGATCTGTTTACTAATAATAATAATCCCCAGCATAGCATTGGCCTTCTTTATTGCAGTCACACACTGTCTCGACATTTTCAGTGAGCTATCTACTACAACTCCAAGATCTCTCTCTTGATCAGTCTCTGCCAGTTCAGACCCCATCAATGTGTATTTATATTTAGGATTTTTGGCTCCAATGTGCATCACCTTGCACTTGGCCACATTGAACCCCATCTGCCATGTTGACGCCCACTCGCCCATCCTCAACAGATCCCTTTGGAGTGCCTCACAATCCTCACTGGTTTTCACCACCCTGAACAACTGCCGGGACCCATTCAAGCTGCCGGTGTTGACCTTTAAAGGGGTAAACGGCTTGGGGGGGGGAGCATCCCAGTTCAGAGGCTCTGCTTTGCGGGGGGGGCCTCCCTCTGAGGCGAGGTGGGTGGGTGGCAAAAATGGCCTCCTTGGTTGTGGCACCCAAACTGTGGAATTCCCGCCCTCCCCCCGTGGGGAGGGCAGGATGCCTGTATCTTCCACCAGGGGGTGATGGTTGTTTTTCTCCGTTTGCCTTTCCCTCGGCCTCTCGTTGTGTGTCGCTATGATTTAAATATTGTATATATTTTCATTTGTCTTTGAAAAGTCATTTTGATTGCCCACTGCCTTGGCAACCCTACGTGCTGAAAGGTGGCCCGTGGGTGAGCCTCCTGGCGGATTGGGGGTCTGAGACCTGGGCTCCCTGCCCAGAGGCCAGCCTGCCCCCCCCCCGCCAACCCCTGCGGAAAGGCCCTCGGGGTGGCCCGGGAACTGCTGCTCTCCAGCCAGGCCCTGGGCTGCTTCTCCACAGGGGGCTCAGTGGCTGGCCTCCAGAGCGGGGGGGGGTGCAGGGGGGTGCTTGGCCTGGAGGCATCCGAAGTGGCCCCAAACACTCTGCAATTCCTGGGGGTCACTCGCGGTCATTCATCTGCTGGGATCTCGGGAGCATCCGGGGTTCCAGGGAAGCAGCAGGAGCGGCAAGGATGGCCCCCCCACCCCCGAGCACCGCGGGCTCCCCCACTGGCCTGTGGCGCCTCAGCCTCCTAAGCGTTAAAGGGCCGTGGCTGCCAGCGCCATGAGCCGGTCCTCCCGGTCTGGCTGAGCTGCTGTTTAGCAAACTTTTCCATGGGGAGGCTGGCACCCTCTCGGAGCTGCTCCCGGCCGAATGTTCCTCTCCCCACCCGATCCCAGACGGAATGTGGTTTTTTCCTAAGCCGCCGCATGAGGTCATGCGCTCTCGTGATGCTCCAGAGTGTCCCAAAGTGTCTTCAGGATGCTCTTCTTTTCTTCCGAAAGCCTGCTTCTCTCCAGTCTCTTAGGGAGACGTGCGTTTTTGGAGGGCGTCAAAAGAAACCAGAAAGTCCTGTAGCAATATAATGCCGTAATGACAATAGTGCTAGAGCAGTTACCCATCTTTTAACTGCCCTTGAAGAGCCCTCTGGCAGCACAGGGCAGCTGGTGAAGGATCCTGTACAGAAAAGGTCTTTCTGGAAGCCCCGGAAACGGGAATGCCCGGTGCAGAACCCTTCTGCCCTGCGGAGGCAGCCAGCCCTTCCCTCCTTGATCATGGAGCAGGAGAGGCATTTGAAGTGCAAACGGGCATCTCGGCACTCCAGGGGCAAGAGCGGCTTCCACCTGAGCCCTCCTTCCTGGCTTTCTCCGCCTGCACGGAGCATCTGCCTCTGCGGGCTCAGGCAGCAGTGCGCTTGGCAGCCTCCGCCGGTATCCGTCGCCCTCCTCTCTCTTTGAACGCTGCGCACCGCAGGCCCGAAGGCTTTGGCAGCCTGGCACTCGAGCGGCTCCAGCTTCACCTCCACCCATGACATGAGCCCCACCCTGAGTGCGGACAGATGTGTTGACGCCCCTGGCAAGACTCTGGCTCACGTGGCCCGAGAGAAGTGCTGACGAGCGCCTGCGGAGCAGTCCGGCCCTGCTTTCCAGGAGAGCTGCGGCTGGGGCTCCCCCGGGGACAGACAGTCCAGGGCGGACGGTGAAGGGCGGGGGCCTTCCAGCTGTGGCCGGGCCCCCGCTGTCCGAATACTCTGCTCCTCAAGGCAGTCAAGGCCCTCCGCTTTCCTTCTGCGTCTCACCTGCCCTCTCTCCTGGCAGCCGCCACCCGACAGTCCCTCACCTGCCAGCAACCGTCTGCAGGCCAAGTCGGAGAGCGACCACCGAGCGCGTAGCGGCACCTGCCAGAGACTCAGGTGGGGCAGCCGTGTTTGGTCTGAAGCCGCAGGACAAAGTCTGAGTCCAGCCGGGCACCTTGAAGGCCAACAGAGTTTTATTCTAGGTGCGAACTTCCGTGTGCAGGCACACTTCCTCAGAGACGGTCACTGTATCTGAGGAAGTGTGCAGCCACACGGAAGCTTATACCTTCTATGAAACTTTGTTGGTCTTAAAGGTGCCCGACTGGACTCAGACTCTGCTCGACACCCATGCACGAGTTGGTGGGAGAAACCCCTCCCCCAGCAGACAGCGGGACTAACGCACAGCCTCAGGATTTCTCTACTGTGCAGGAAGGTCTGGAATGGAAACTCGCTTTGGAAGCTGTTCTTAGGGCAGACGGCACCACCACCGACAAGAGCCAAGATGCCTTATCAGGCAGCCTCCCTCTCGGCCAGCTGCGCCTCGATCTCCTCCCCCATCTCAGCCCTCCCCGGTGCAGAAGAAGAAGAGGCAGAGAAGAGATTGGATTTATACCCGACGGCCCTTCACTACCCGGAGGAGTCTCAGAGCGGCTGACAAACTCCGTTCCCTTCCCCTCCCCACCACAGACAGACACCCTGTGAGGCTGGTGGGGCTGAGAGAGCTCTGGCAGAAACTGCTCTTTTTTTCAAGGACAGCTCTTATCAGAGCTACGGCTTGCCCAAGGTCATCCAGCCAGGTGCAAGTGGGGGAGGAGTGGGGGATCAGACCCGGTTCTTCCAGATTAGAGTCCGCACACTTAACCACGACACCAACACTGGCAGAGATGCTTCCCTGGCACGCCTCTGTCTCTGCTGGGCTGGCAGAGGCAAACGCCGGTCCCATGGCCCAGATTGGCCACAGTGGAAGTGGCTGGGGAGGGGGAGCCAGTCCCGACCCCAAGCAATTGGGCGGCTCCTCCGTGCCGAGGCCGTGGGCAGCCACACCCACTCGGGTATCACTGGCCCTCAGAGGCCAGGCCCCAGTGACGTCACCTCTTGCCAGAGCAAGCAGGTAGAAGGCTTGCCAGGTGGGCATGGCTGGCCACAGTCCAAGTGACACGCATGCAGCCTGTCACCAAAGAGCTCTGCCACAAAGGCAGCCGGGCACTGCTCTCGGCCCTTCAGCCTTTCCTGGCGGGCTGGCGGGTGGATCCCACGAGCGGACCTGGCTGGACCGGTCTCTCCTGCCGGAGAGCGAGTCCACCTCTTCAGCGAGGCAGGCGGGGGCGCAGGTGGACTGCCACCCTCGGCGGGAAGTGCAAGGATGCCAGCCCTTCCTGAACACCAGGCGCTGGCAAAGAGGGAAGCCAAGTTTCCATCAGGCTTTCCTGGGCGCCTACTCCGTCAACACCTGCCAGGCTGGGCGGGAGAGCGTCAGAGCCAGGCGTGGTGAGAGCCACAGCTCTGCCTGTCGGGATTCCTGCCGAGGCTGCTCCCACAGCCCACCTGGCACCCCGGGCCGCCACCACCACGGGGCCTTTCCGTCCAGGCTCTTGCAAAGACCAGGGGTGGGTGTGTGTGTGTGGAGATCACTTTCACTCATTCGCTTCGTCCCACCCACCCACCTGACAAACGTGCCTGGCCCTGGAGAGAGCCCTGGAAGAAAGGCCCCTGCCCTGAGGGGCTTACAGTCTCCTGGTCAAAGGGATGGGGTGGGAGGGAGAGGCTCTGGGCAGGTCCACTTCCCCTTGCGTGCTTTAGGCTTGGTCTCTGAAGGGGCGGGGGAGCTGGGGGGCTCGGCTGGAGGCGGGGCTCTGCGGCATCACACCCCTGCTGAGCTCCCCCCCCCACATACACACAGAGGGGAAAAAGCCCCTCTGACTTCCCCAGGCGCGACCCACGGGTCTCCAAGAATGTGCCGAGTGGGCAGCTCTATGGACCCCACAACAACCCTGCAGGCTGTAGGAGGCGGAGAGCGAGGAAGCGGCCCAAAGCGACTTAGCCCGTTTTCATGGCAGAGTGGGGGCTTGGACCTGCCTCTCCCAGACCCTAGGCGGACCCTGCAGCCACCACTGTTATCACACTGGTCACGTGACCGGTGGGCTTTGGGGAGGGGTGGCTGTTTGTTTATCCAGACACTCCTGTGCTGCCTTTGCCCCCAGTTCAGAGACACGAACGTGGCAAACATTTAAAATACTTTTTGTTGTGGTTCAGTTCCCCAGTCATTATCTTGTAGAAGTTCCCCATGCTCTACATCTTACAACAGCACTACAGATAAGATTAGAATTTCAACAGCACGTCACAGCCTGGAAAACCCCTACAAGATAATGACTCAGCCCTACCCCACCTTCCTGAGTAGATATAAATGACCTTGACACAGAGAGTACTCCACCTTTCTGTGTTATACCTCTGAGGATGCCAGTCACAGCTGCTGGCGAAACGTCAGGTCCCACAATGCCAAGACCACGGCCAGACAGCCCGGAAAATCCACAACAACTAATGGACTGTGTGAATGCTAGGCTTCCCAAGTCCCCCCGGGGGGCAGGGAAACCCCCGCCCCAGAGGCCTGTTCCCCGCCGCCTCCGGATTGGGCCCCCGGGGGACCTCCACCCCAACGTGCGCGTCACCCGGAAGTGACGTGACCACGGTGGGCACGCTGGGGGCGGGGCAACGGCAATCCGAGGGAAAACTCTATGGTGCCTGCCGTCGTCACGTCACTTCCGGGTGATGTGCATGCGGTGCGCGTTTGCTTCGCTTCGCGCGCGCGCGCACACACAAGACGCCAGCCGGGAACCCCCCGCTTCGGCAGAAGATCGACTTGGCAACCCTAGAATGCTTACTTCTTAATGTTTGAAAAAGAAACTCCCATTTGAATCTATCATATGCTTTTTCAGCATCAAAAAACAACATGGAAATAGCTTCTTAATTTTCAGCTGCCCTGTCTGTGATTTTATTTATTTATTTATTTCATATCCCGCCCTCCCGGCCAGAGCAGGCTCAGGGCGGCTTTCTGCAGTCGTTAAAACAACAATATGAGTAAAAGCACCGAGACACAGCATAAGGTGCTAGTAAACAATTTAAATTTATTATTAAACCGGTATTGTCAAACAAACATCTCCCTATAATAAAACCTGTCCAGCCGGGATGAATGTCTCTTCTAATGCTCTCATTAAGCCTGGCATTCAAAGTTGTGGTAAATATTGTTTCATCTGCGCTGAGTAAGCAAATGGTTTCCTCTTTCTCTCTCTTTGAGCCGCTCTGCAGGAACGGAATGCTGGATGTGGACTGGCCTCCTTGGCCTAACCCGGAAGAGCTCTTCCCGCGTCCGAGAGCAGCTGCTGCCCAGGCCCGGGCCCGGGCTGCGGCGGGGCTTCCTTCTTGGCTCGCTGCCTTCAAGGCCGGGGGTGGGTGGGGGATGCAGGCAAAGATCCAACCCGTCTGGCCGCTGGCTCTGCCAGGACGAGGTGTGATTGGCCGAGGGCTTCTGACGCGCAGCCCGGAAGTGTCTCTGCCTTGACCCTGTGCATCCTGTGTCACTCCTTTGTTTTTATTATGGCCAGGGGCCCTGAAACCTAGAAGGTGGATTGGGAGGAGCTACAGAAGGATCCCTCAAAACTGGCTGATAAGACAACGGCATGGCAAGTGAACTTCAGTGTGTGTAAAGTAAGAGTATGGTGATGAAAGTGTGTCGTGATGCGCACTGAAACAGAAAACCCCAGCTTTAACAAGGGGTCATTTCCTGCAGGAGCGCACAGGAGCGGAGCTCCGGCAGTAAAGCGCCCAGGGGGCAGGCACATGCAACAAGCCACACCCCCTGCTCCCAGCAGCCCTCAGTCAGAGCAAGAAGCAAGCAGAGCAAGCAGCCAGGTAAGTTGCAGAGCCCCCCCCGCCCCCCGGTCCAAAACAGTCCAGTGGCACCTTTAAGACCAAGTTTTATTCAGGCACAAGCTCTCCCTCCTCTGTGAGGACAGATCTGCACGTTCCCCCCCCCCCCCAATAGCTAGCCATCCAGAACAGTCCAGTGGAGCCTGAGCAGTGGGTGTTGCCTTCTGACACACTTCCGGTGATGTCAGGGGGTGTGGTGTATGCAAATGAGTTATGCAAATGAGCTCCTGCACCACTTTTTCTACAAAATGACCCCTGGTCATCGACTATTTGCTGATGGGGTCTGATCTTGCTGAAACTGAGAGGGGAAAGAGACCTTGAGGTGATAGTGGATAGCTCAGTGAAAATGTTGACTCATGTGTGCAGCAAGTGGTGAAAAAGGCAAAGTCCATGCTGGGGATGATTAGGAAAGGGACTGAAAAGAGAATGGCCAAAATATTGTCATGCCCCTGTGCAGAGAGGCGGTGTGGCCTCCATCCAAATGCTGTGTGCAGTTCTGCTCACTGATCTCAAAAAGGACACTGCAGAGCAGAAAAAGGCAAACAAGGACGGCTGTGATCACTAAGATCCAGCGTGGGTTTCTCAAGAACAATGTAAAGTTCTGCATTTCGGTAGGAAAAAATCAAATGAATAATGATAGGATGGGGGAAATTCTCTTGGCAGTAGTATGTGCGAAAAGGATCCAGGGGTCTTAGCAGAGCATACACTGAACATGAGTCAGCAGTGTGATGCGGTTGCTAAAAAGGCAAATGCGATTTTGGGCTGTATCAACAGAAGTATCGTGTCCAGATCACGTGAAGGTGATGGTACCACTTTACTCTGCTCTGCTTAGACCTCCCCTAGAGTCTTGTGTTCAGTTTTGGGCACCACAGTTTAAGAAGGATACAGACAAGCTGGAACGTGTGTCCAGAGGAGGGCAACGAAGAGGGTGAGGGGTCTGGAGACCAAGTCCTAGGAGGAAAGGTTGAAGGAGCTGGGTGTGTTTAGCCTGGAGAGGAGACGACTGAGAGGGGACAGGATCACCATCTTCACGTACCTGAAGGGCTGTCATGTAGAGGATGGTGCGGAGTTGTTTTCGGTTGCCCCAGGGCATGGAACAGGGGTCACTGGGGGTGTGGAGGGGGGAGGCAATTTCCTGCCTTGTGCAGGGGGTTGGACTAGATGACCATAATCTCGATAGATTATGAACAGAAAGGAAAGGGTGTGTGTGTGTCGTGTTAGTGTTTTCCAAGGATCTGTCAAAGTAGTAAAAGAATGATTTTTCCCTCACAAGACAGTCTGGTGCAGTGGTTAAGAGCGTGGACTCTAATCTGGGAGAACTGGGTTTGATTCCCCACTCCTCCACATGCAACTGCTGGGTGACCCTGGGTCAGTCACAAGTTCTCTCTGAGCTGTGTTCTCTCAAGAGCCGTTCTCTCAGCCCCGCCTACCTCACAGGGAGTCTGTTGTGGGGAGGGGAAGGGAAGGGAGTTTGTCAGCCGCTCTGAGACACCTTCAGGTAGTGAAGGGCGGGGTATAAATCCAATCTCTTCTCTCTTCCCTGTATTGTGAAATGTATGAATCTGTTTTAATGGTTATAACTGTGGAATGCTGAAAGCCTTAATTCCAGTTTATATCAGAGCAAGCATTCTAGCTTAAATATGTTACTGTAATTATTGTTTGTGGTTTCAAGCTACATCTTGTACAGACTTACAGTGCAATCCTAAACAGAGTTACTCCAGTTTAAGCCTGTTGATTCCAGCGAGTAACTCTGAGGAACTCTGCCCCCGGGATTGCACTGTTGATTGAAGCACAGATGAAGTATGAGATTAGGAGTCAGAATTTGTCCCGCCCCCAAACGACGACATCTCATTTTAATTACATCTCAAAGACTGTTCAAGCCCTGGGTTCATGTCTTGGTGACTCATCTGGTACTTCGCCTTTAGTTAAAAGCACCTTGGCTACTGTGGGCTTTGTGCTTCAACTGGAGCCCCCTTCATCAGATGTAAAAAGTGTATCCTATATTGGTAGGTTTATATACTGCTTCCTCTGCAAGAAGAAGAGGAGGAGGAGGAGGAGGAGGAGGAGGAGGAGATTGGATTCATACCCCATGGCCCTTCACTACCCCCAAGGGAGTCTCGGAGCGGCTGACAATCCCCTTCCCCTTCCCCTCCCCACAACAGACACCCTGTGAGGTAGGCGGGGCTGAGAGAGCTCTTTCGAGAACTGTCCTTGAGCGAACAGCTCTGAGAGAACTTGTAACTGACCCAAGGTCACACCAGCAGCTCACTGAGTTATTAAAGTATCTCTGTGTCTCCCGCTGCCCAGCGCCTGGTCACCGCGGGGACTGTCCACTGCCTTGCGTGCCCCTGGAGGAAGAGCCGCTTGCCAAGGGCCTGCCTCCCCTCTCCTGGCACTCTGGTCCATGTGGTACAGAGAACCACTCCCAAATGCGTCCTCCCCACAAAACACTAAACGGCTGCAGCTTTCCCCTCTCTGGTGGGGCTACCTTGGCATTCAAGCTGTGGTCCCCGACCGACCAGGTGTCCCTCTCCGACCCCGCCGGCTGTCTCCCTTCTATCCCC